GAGAGCGAAAATATTTTTCATGTTTACGTCTTGTTTATTAAGGGTCCCTCAGGTGTAACAAATGGGATTTTGTTTTTCTACGCTCCACGCCTGATTGGCTGCCTATATTGTGTAGCATTATGATAAATGAATAATTGATTGGCGAATATATCTCGCTATTGCACTCAGGAAAAATCAAAATGCACTTTGAAAGACATCGGCCTTACTGCGCGCTTAATGAGAAAGGAAATGATTTCCCTCTTTTCAGACCACCTTTGGCGTCACAAATAAAACAAAATGTTATATATTTCTAAGGCTTCATTATCTTTCGACTGCCAGAGGCCAGGGCCCGTCTTCTCCTGCCATCTAGTGCTCACACAAGCAAGTGTATCCTACACCGATGCAGACGCGCTGTGCATTCTCCTAAATAGAAGAATCTCTATTTCAGGTCACATTTTACCCCTAAAATTAAAATTATGATATATTAATAAATAACACGTTACCAAGGATGACGTTGTTAATTTCTTGCATTTTGTATCATTATGTAATGACATAATGTATGTAAAACTCTTTGTTTATATGTATGTTTTGTTGAATTTGAGCTGAAATGTAATCCTAATAATGTGAGAGTTAATAACACACAATAATGTGTAGCATTATGAACACAAGCATTATATGACATGGATTTCAGCTAAAAAAGAAAAATGACAACAATTAGAAAATGACGTACATTTCTCACATTTTATTATTATTTAATGACAATTACGCACACACAATTAAGAAAAACTGGAATATTTTTTTTTAAATACAATATAAATATTAATAGTATTATATATAAGATTACACACACAAAATATATACACACATCCTTTAATACTAACAGTTGTTGTTATTATATTAAATATCATAATTAATTTCTTGTAATATTTATACACACACGCACACAATTTAAACCCATGCATGTATAAATACATAATAGTACTAGTAATATTAATAACAAAAATTATTATTATCATCGTATTTATTAGAATTTTTTATCATTTATTTTTTACAGTCCAGTAATTTAATGTTTCATTTGTAATATTTTAATTTCTGTGTTTTATTGATTTTGGGCTGAATTTTATTCACATTAACGTAAGTTTTAAAGTAAGAGTTATGCAAAGTTAGTTCAATAATGAGTAGTATTATGAACACAAGCGTCAACCAATCCATTTCACCTAAAATGAAAAAAGGACAATGTTTTTTGTAAGGTCAAAAAAAAAATCTTTATTTGAACTTGGAATGGTTCACATCCAAACAGTGGGATGGTGTACGATAACATCACAGGGGGGTAATCCAACCATTCAAACACTCATCTGAGAACAGCATCACTAGACAAAAAGTGTTTAGAAGAGGAAAAAATAACCCAAACGACAGTTTTCACAACCCACTACTACAGACAGACGGCACCTTTGTCCTGTGGAACATTGTGTCCAGAGAAGGAGAAAGCCTATATTTTCTGTTATCTTAGCATACATACAATAAACACCCACTGTGGCATACGTACAATACACGCCCAATGTAGCATACATTCCCAAAACATACTTCCAGTAACATCACATACAGTCTATTAAGTACAAGGATGCACCAAGTGCCTTAGTAATCGTGCAAGTACCACACAACATCCTATTATCAGACCAACACGGCCTTAAATACTGCAATGCATTAGCTTGGGTAGAAGATTTAACTCAACAGCAAAAGCATACGCTTTTCACAGCACAGCCTTTCGTTCACTGGCAGAGGAGAGATAAACAGAGATGAATGGCACAACCATGACTATGTTAGTATGTTACGGATGGCAGTTTCTGCAAACTTGATAGCATATATAATCAAACTTCGTCTCGTTATGTAAGCGCTACTATACAGTATGTACTAAATGAGCTGTACAACAGATATATGAGAACGTAATGCGCTGACTTTCTCAGCAGAACGAGTAGAAGTCTGATACTCAAGTATTCAGATTCATGAAATTTCACGAAACTCATGACACTCAAAGGCATGATTACAACATGAGTAAAGACAGTGTATGGTTGTGGATTTCTCGACGGACACTGATTTACGTGATCCTTTGGTCTGATTTCCTTTTGCCTACAATGACACCAAGACAAGATACGCTGCAGAACATGAGAAACAGTGAGAAATGTGGTTACATTTGTAACAAACAGCTTCATGTCTGCCAACTGTTTTTATTTTTTTCCTGCCTAGTCTTTGTCAATGAATGATCAATACCAGCACTGACCAACAGAGGGACGTTGTGAGCAGAGAAAGGCCATTTAAGGCCACCAGAGGGCAGCATTTATCTTAGCCCTTATGCGTGAAGACAGGTTTATCTGGTAAATCCACACTTAAACAAGGCTTAATAGGTACTGCAAGGGCTCTCAAAACTTTTCATGCCTTTCATACCATTCATGATTACTGGATGAGGATTTACGATTATCATCATTGTTATTAACAATAACATGTTATTGTTATTATTATTATTATTAACTATACACAAGTGTGTGTATTGTGTATATTTATATGTATATATAAATACACACATATATGTATATATTTAAGAAAAATGTTATATATATATATAAATCATATTTAACAAAAAAAAAAAATATATATATATATATATATATAGACACACACACATGTAAATATTTCTTAAATATATAAGTGTGTGTTCATACATACATAAAAATATACACAGTACACACATATATATTATGTAAACACAAACTTTTATTGTGTATGCGATTAATCGTGATTTATCGATTTAACAGCCAAATTTGATTTTTAATAAAAAATATTTGTAATTTTACACATTAAATTTTATTTTAATTTAGAATTGTATTTTTAGCCATTTAATTATTTTTGAGTTGAGAAAAACAAGAAAACTCGTAGCTGTATTTACTATAGAAATCGACATAATTTACTTTCGAGGCCTGGAAATCCCAATTTTATAATTCCCTGATATTTCCAGGTTTTCTAAGAACTTGGGAACCCTTTAGTGCAACTCACAGAAGAATGACCCAAAACGGTCTGTTTTATACACTGAATTATGAATTATGCATTGCGATATTCTGCATGTTTTCTTTACCGTAAATAGATTTAAGCCCTCATCCATCCAGGTTTAATTATGCTGAATTGTCATGGCTGAATTCAAATGAACATCCAGAAATAGACATGTGCCCTAGTAACAGCAAATTTGTCTTTATGCATATGTTAAAATGCCGGCTATTGGGAAGTGATCCGGTAGGAGATATTAGAAACAAAATTAGAATCCCTTCCTGAGATGAGACTAATCCTCGCAGCTACAGAGCCGGTTTCCCATCGCTCCCTTGTGGCTGAAGGCTAACATATTTTAGGACATTGTGCGTTGTATCTAGGGAAAGGCACTGCTATCATTCCTTGAACAGTGTTGCTTGTTAAAGAAAAGCACGTGCAAGTCGGTCTCCCTCACATGCGGACAACAGGCCCATGCTACTACAAAGCATGACAGAAGCTAATTACCAGTCATTGCCAAAATCATCTGTTAAAAGTAATTCAAGATGGCAGCAACAGTACATGGAGTCTCAGAAGAGATTTTCAATTTTTTTATGCTCCAAATGCAAGAGTAAATCAGTATGGCACCAACGAGAAATGTAAGACTAACACAGACAGATGATGTAACAGCTCAAGCATGACATCAAATGTAGTAACAGTAACAGTACTGTTTTCTCAGGAGAAACGTTTTTATGTAATTCATAATTCATTCTACACAAGCTTTCACATACTGCCATTCTGATTGGATGGTGTGAAGTGGCATATCCTAAGCCAAACTGCAAAAATAAAATCAGTGAATAAAATGAGATTAAAGCTTTGGGCTCAGTGTGTTTAAGTGGATATCTAGGTCAGTCGGGCAAATTTGTGTACACGACTGGGTATTCCCTCTTCAAGCACAGCTCAGGGAGGAGGGGTAATACTGAAGATGAACTGGAGATGATATGACAGATTGGGGGCAGTGGAGTTTCTCTTGGAGGGGTTCTAGAGGCGGAAACATTTCTCGTATTATGAAGAAGAAAATGAGTCATTTTAGGATTTTTTTGTATTATTGTATATATATATATATTGTATTATGTTATTATCGTGTAGGCCATTGAATATTTAGATCGGGAGGAGGGATCTGTATCTCACCAGAGACAGTGCGCTATGCATTTAAAAATGTATCTGGGAATACGGTGTACTTTGCATAGTACATTTGACATACACAAGTTTTTGGGTGAATCTCACAAAAATATATCCAGATCGTCATAAAATCAAAAGAACAAAAATATGAAAATATATTTTGCATAAGAAAATGAGTCCTGTTTTTAGAATTTGCTGTTTTATGATATTATTGTAATTACAATTGATTAAATGTTTTTGATAAATTCTCATAGAAAGTCCCGAATACATTTGGTGCGATTCACCCTTTTACTTGGGTTGCCCATGTGTCATCTGGCCATTTTAGTAAGTATTAATATTCATATAATCAGTTGACATAGTATATATGGGATACATGTCCAAAGCAGGACTATTTGAAATAGGTGAATGATGGACACTTGCAATTACATGGAGCTCATTGGAATGCCTTAAAGCCATGCAATTTGATAAGAATGAAGCATTTACACGTGTAAATTAGGCATGATGATCTGCTTTTTGTATTAGGAAGCTGACGTGATCCAAAAAACACAGAGAAGAAAAAAGTAGAGCACGCCTCAAACTAATATCAATATTAATGGCTCAGACTATTGATTCATTATTTGTTTGCTTCTTGGTTGTAAATGTTTTTGATAAAAGCCGTTCTATTCTCCCTGCCTGTTCTGTCCTCGGCTGTACAAGATTGACACTTAAAAAAAGAACCTACCCAAAATTTATATACAAGTAAAACTACATTTTACCACAGGTGTCTTACAATTAGTTGGTATATTGGTTTTCAGCATCTCATATATGTTTAGCACTTAGCTATGTTGTTACTTAGATGTATATCGCTTATTCTACAAACGAAAGGAATTATAAGTTCAAGTACAATATATCTCTATTTACAACAGCTCAAAGGTAGCTGGCCGTGTTAGACAGTCTTTGAGTGACCGTTTGGTTCTATTATTATGTACAGTCCAGTTCTGGAGGGCAGGACAAGCTGCAGCATTGCTCGCGTTATTTGGAAAGATCTTCTCTGTGGGGGTCACAGCAGGGCTTCCCACCCCAGAGGAGCTGGAGCTGCTGGAGCGGTGCTGAGTGGGTGGGGGTCGCAAGGGTCTCATAGGTGGAGGTCTGAGCTGGGCTCCGGCCAATCTGGCCGACAAAGCCGGTTTAAAGGTGGTCATCATCTCGGAGGTGGAGCTGCTGCTGCGTCTCAGGGCCGCATCCGGATCTCGGATCATGATGGTGTGTAAGGGGCTCGCTGGCTCTGAGCTAACAGGGTTCTTGAGCGGTTCTAAAGTGTCCAGAACAACGTCGGGAGCTTGTTTGGCTGTGTTTTGGCGTTCCAATTCACGGAGCTCATGAAGTGCCGTGTTCATTGTCTTCTCAATATCCTGTAACAAAAAATATTGTTCACGTTTTACATTTTTTTGTTTGTTTGTTTGTTTGTTCTAGTCATAGATTTTTACATTTAATGAAAATTCTTTAAAATCAAATTAATGGCAAAATATTGTCATTAATTTTTCATTTTATTCTATAATGGCATTGAATTGTACTCAATAAAAATAGCATTTAATATTAAACCAAATGTTCAAGCATTCATAACCTAGTTTACGTTTTTGTCAACAGTATATATTTTTTTACAACGTTTGACAAAATATAGAATACATTTTGATATTTTTCATTTCAGTCTAAGATAGTATTGAATTTGAGTCAACACAACATAACATTTGAAATTAAACCAAATGTTCAAGCATTTTAGTCATGAACTAGCTTATTAACGCCATTTTTGAATAAAATTAATATTTAAATTCAGTCAATATTTTGTAATTAATTTCTTTTTCAGCAACTTTAAAATATTGTTGACGAGAAAGCAATATTTAAATTAAAATCAAATGTTCATGCATTTTATTTAGAACCTAGTTTGCGTTTTTGACAACAGTATGTTTTAATTAAAATTGCTAAAAAATACATTTGACAAAATATTAACTGAATTCAGTCATTTTTGTCTTATTTTGATGATGAGATAAATTTAACAAAGATTTATATACATTCAAGAAATATTGTTTTTTAGTCATGTTGTTGAAAATAGCTCTCTGTACTTCCTTTGTCTTAACTTGTTAAGAATTTCTAATATTGCAAAGTCAAGCAAGATGTGTTTAAATCCTCTAGCACCGCTAATAACTATGACGCGAGAAATGATCGATAACTTCAATTTGTCGGTTTCTGCACAGAATGTATTTACAGAGGTATATGGCCTTAGAAATCTCTCATCTTTCCTGGAAATTCATCTTACTTTCTTCCGAAGTGGTCTAATATATCACGGAGGCAGATTATGTTTAATATACACAGTGTCTCTGCCATCCTGATAATGATGACTATAAAGTCACTGCTTTCCAGTTCCCTTTCAAGACTGTCTTGCAGCTGAGCATGCCATAAAAATTTTATCTTCAGAAGATAAAAGGCTCATGAAGACCGCCCCCCCAAACACATTTACACACATTTCCCAAACTGCACAACAAGCATTGATGTTAATCAGATCATGCAGTCTGTGCTTATAATGCATTATCAATATACAAAACAACACATTTCAATATCAATATCAACAATATTAATCATGCCTTCATTTTGATGTCTGTATTCACATAAGCCATTTTCTTTTCATTAGGTGAGTGTAGACACAAAGGGGCCATTACAAAAGATCATTAACTGTTCCATGTGTCAGACTTCATTATTTAACCGTGCACAAATGAAACACATGGATCAGTGCCAGCCTATCCCGTCATATCATGCTGATATCTGCTTTAGTGCCAGCTCTTTGTTTCTGCTTAACTAAATCTTGCCAGCTTCTTCAGCCTCACAGAATTCTAGGCTAATTGCAAGGCTCAAGAGAAAGACCAAAAAAGCTTTCATGACTACAACTTAAAAGTAGTTTTGAATCCTTCTGGGCTTTGATTTATAAGGGTACAAAATATAAGAAGATTAATGGTACACTTACTGAGAATATTTGAATGTTTGATCGAAGCAATTGCAAATTATGCTTTAAAAATATTTTATTTAAATCGGGGCGATTTAATTACATTATGATAATTAATCAAAATATATTTTATGATTTTTTTGAATAATTACTGGTGCTTGCATATTATTTTTCTTTCCAAATTTTGCAGTGTAAGCCTCGACTTGTATGATTCCTCAAATAGCAATTGAGGAAAGGTGCTATTATTTTTATATGCAACTCAATGTTTTAACACAATTTTCTTGTGTTAAAAAGTAAAATAAGAAAATAATGGAAAAAAAAGTTTCCAAATACTTTGTTTTTAAATACCTTAATGGTATCTACAACTTACCTATTTTATAATTTGAAACAAAAAATAAAAATTAATAAAAATGTCACTGATTGTATATTTTATTATTTCATACATTCATACATTAAAAATATTAATATTGTGAAATATTATTACAATTTAAAATAATTTTCTATTTTCAAAATGTATTTGGAAAAGCTGACTATTCAGCAGCCACTGCTCTAACCATTATTCTAATATGCTGATTTGCTCAAGAAACATTTCTTATTATCAATGTTCAAAACAGTAAAAAATATATAATATTTTCGTGGAAACCATGATACTTTTTCGAGGGGATTCTTTTACTGTAGGAATAGAAAGTCCAAAAGAACAGCATTTATTTGAAATGGAAATCTTTTCTAAAATTATAAATGTCTTTACTGCCACTTTTGATCAATTTAATGCATTGTTTTTTAATAAAAGTTTTTTTTTCTTTATATGAAGCTGCACAACTTTTTCAACATTGATATTTAAAATAAATTATTCTTGAGCACCAAATCAGCATATTATAATGATTTCTGAAGGATCATGTGACACTGAAGACTGGAGTAATGATGCTGAAAATTCAGCTTGGCCAACACAGAAACAAACTTGGGGCCTTGGTCAATATACAGTATAAGAGACTTCTTTCAAAAACATTACAAATTCTTAATTCAAAAGTTTGACCTCCAGAGTATATATACACACACAACACCGTAAAATTTAATGAGAATCTAAATACATGCACACACATAAACATACACACCCACCTCTGCTAAAGCCTCAGCCTCCAAGGACTTGTGGTCTCCTAGGCTACTGTGTCTTGTTGCTCCTGGCACAGGCCTGAGTGGGTGACCCTCAGGATAGACCTTTCTCTCAGGGTAGTTAATGCTGCCTGCACTGCCAAAGGTTCCCAAACGCCTCTTCTCAGGACTCTCTATGTGGCCCCTACTGACCACCACCTTGTGGGGGCTGCTGGGACAGGCAGCGGCCCGCGGCGGTGTGTCTCGGGGAGGACTGTGAGAGTCAGTGCCACTGCGGCGCCGGGGAATGGCAGACCCGTCCGAACGCAACCTAACCCTGCATAAACACACAATGAGATGGCAAAAAAAACTTAAATCCAGACCTTCACCATTGTTTTTATCTCAAAGCAGACTGCAAATAAGAGTAAAAAAAATGTAGTTAAATATTCGTGTCACAAACAAGCCGAACAAGAGTAAGTAAATAAGCTGCAAGGAGAAACAGGACAAGATTACACACTTTAATTCAGATCATAATTTTTTCCTGAGGACAAAAATATGTGAAATAAATACAAGCAGAATCCTGAATAATCAGCCACTGACCGGCCCATGACCCCGCCAAAGTTGTAATCAGGTGAAGGTTCACATGGGGACTGCAGATCGTTTTTAGACGAGGCTTTATCGTCCAGTAAAGGTCCACTGCTGGCCTCGCTGTCAGCCTTCTGACTCAGACTATCAGAGAACGCATCATCCCTAAAGAGACAGATACAAAAATTACTCTGTAAGATCTGTAGCAGCCACTACTCCAGTCTTCAGTGTCACATGATTTCTGTCATCCTTCAGAAATTATTCTAATATGCCGATTTGGTGCTCAGCACCATGCTACTTTTTTTCAGGATTCTTTGATGAATAGAAAGTTCACGAGAACAGCATTTATTTAAAACACTGTGTTTTTGTAACACTGTAGAAGTCTTTACTGTCACTTTTGATTAATTTCATGTGTCCTAGCTAAATAAAAAATAAAAAACAACTAAAGTGTCACACACACATCAAAAAATCCATGTACATAAAGCTGGCAATGAAAGAAACCTCTAGTTTCTTATTTTTCAGTCCCAGCAGCCCCTGCATCATTCTCACTTCACGTCTCATTCCCAGAGCCGTGAGCAAGCAAACATCCACTGATCACAGTTTCACAGCATGTTCTCGGGCTGCTTTTACAGTTCTCATGGGAGACGACAGCAGAAGGTGTTTGGTAATCTGAAGCTGTTGAACGTCACAGTCAAGGGGGGAAAAAAAAGTCTCTGAAAAAGTCTACAGCCCAAATGTTTCATTATGCAATCTTTCAGCAATTAATTTTTCGGAGTGCCTTTTAAACACACTGCATGGACTGAAGTATGTGCTTGTTGGACCTTAATTTCAAAACCACTGCCATTAACAGGAAGCTGATCCTCTCTAACAGCTTCTATCCTTCTGGTATGGCTTTCCACTAGATGTTTGAACATGGATTCAGAAATTTGCTCCTATTGAAACATGCAGTTTGCAACCCACATAATCTCAAACTTTAAGTACCTTTCATTTTTAAAGTAGATAAATCACTGGATTATAACTATTGTGATACAAGATTTTGGTAATTCCGCCCTCCTCTACTGTAGACTAACTGGCGACCTGTAGTCTCTTTTAATTTAATTCTAATCTCAAGAATTAATCAAAATTTTCCTTATTTGCGGCTGTCAAATCTTCCAATATTAGGAATGGGGCTTGGACTGACCCTTTTAATAATCTCATTCATCAAACTGACACCGGTTAGACCATACAAAGAGATAATGAGCATGTCATCATTTTAGTAATTACTGAAACAGCAGTAGGACAGTTAATAACAGCTGATGATATAAATATGGTCAACTCAAGGACGCTGCACTTTCATGTTATCTCAAGATCTTATAAAGCGGTAACATAGGAGCAGAAAGCCCCTGAACACTTGATCGGCTTACTTTCACTTTAACCTCAGTGATGTGAAGTGAAGTACGTCATGTCCGACTGCACCCAACGAGCTTTGACATAAATGCATTCCTAGCACATTAAGGCACCACTAATGCTTGGTGCTTCAGAAACACAATTAGACTCCGTGTAAGGGCATTCTTTAACTGCCACTCAGTGCTGTTAAATTTTAATTAAAGTCTAAAGTGTTAATGGAGGGAACTATTTGATTCTCACTTGAGCTGTTACGGTATGAACTCAGGCCAGATGGCCTGGTTGATTAGTCATATATTACCCAGAGGGCAACACTTTCACAAAGCAACATGTATTAAACTGTCCTGTAACTAGTGCCAGGACTATATAAAAATTATTAAATGAAAAATTATTTAATTTAGATACTCACAAGTCTTGTACTACTATGTACTGGTGAGGTATGAGGCCGTCAACCCCATTGTGTCGGCCCTCCCACCAGTCCTCAGATGCGCGATGATACAGCAAAAGGGATGCGCCTTTTTTGAAGGACAGCTCGCGAGGAGTCCGACCCATGTAATCAAATTTTGCAATGGCTTCAATCTGCTCCACCTCTGTGCGTGTGAGAGAGAGAGAGGAACAGGGAAAGTAGCACTCATTAACATGTTTGCACAGAGAATTATGTCAACAAATTTTCAGAGAGCTTCAAAGCACTGCAACAGACTCAAAATCTGTCATGATCCCAGCTGGTTCTCAGCAAAAACACACAGTCACACCGTGTCTTGGCTAGGCATGATATGACAAGTTTCCAGCGACAAGCAATTTGTCTGTCCAGAATAAACGCAAAACTACTGCATGACACTGAACTTATTAGATGTTAAATAAACAGTTACGTGATGTAAGATTTTGGAGCAATGATATTTCACAGTGGGTGAATTGGACTGCAGAAACAGAAACCATTAGATTTTATACACAAAAAATATTGCAAAGTCCATAGATTGTCGTAATTCTCTGAAAACAATATAGCGAAGCAAAGCCAAAACCAAACAAAAAACAAAACAACAATGCAAAATGTCATCATGTCATATGTGACGAGTGGGGGCGGGGCCGAGAGCCGTGGGAACGGAGCGAGGCCGGTGGAGTAATTGATAATGAGTGACACCTGCACCACTCACCGGTCTCAAGTTCCACGGCGGAGCTCCGGAAAGATAAAAGAGAGGAGAGAAATCCAGGCCTGGTCCTCTCTCGTCCAACACTGTCGTCACTCCTCCTTTTATTCTTCCGGAGCTCCTCTGTGGGACTCGAGACCGGTGAGTGGCGCAGGTGTCGTGCATTAGCATTTCCTCCACCGGCCTCGCTCCGTTTCCACGGCTCTCGGCCCTGCCCCTCTCATCACATCATGTCAAAGATACTGAAAAGTTCGTAGATGAATTGTTGTAATTCACAAAACAAAAAGCAAGCCAAACAAAAACAAAAAGCAAGCTAAACAAAAACAAAAACAAAGCTAAATGAAATAAAACAAAACAACAACAAAAAACAACAACATAGTCTTTGAACAAAAAATACATGGATCACTGCAATGCAGTATTTCAGATTTGCTTCTGTATGGAAGAAACACACTGCATTCAGTGTGATCAAGTGTACTTACATGGTTCATTTATTCTTAGGGAAAGATGTAACTGATCAGTCTGTTCAGCAAGCAGTGTGCACAGCAAAAGCTTGTATGTGCATTTAGTTGTCAAATAGATACTGTTCAATATCATACAGACTCGCATTCATCCCGTTTAGGTCTTACACATCAGGATATGATCTCATCTTTTACCCCATCAGGACCACAAAGAAACAGGCACATTTCTAATACAGATGGGCTGCTAAAATGCAAAGTGGACTTTATCTAAATCCTATCCAATCTGCCACCCAGCTGCCAGGGGCAAACAGACAGTGGGGTCACATTCAGGGTTAAGGAGATATACAGAGCAAATCAGTGCTTGGCAGGAAATCTCCAAGTCAACTAAAAGAAACCAATCCGTTTCATTAGGGTCTCCACCCAGGGGTGAAATTAAATACAGGCATGGAACAGAAGTGGAAGGAAAGAGGAAGAACGGAAATGAAGAGAGAGAGAGAAAATCAGCTTTTGCAATTCTGTATGTCGTTTGATTTTTTTTCCATTGTGACTGCACCTGATTGGCTGGATTGAAGGTTAAGAATCTGATTGCGATTTCTCAGAATGTGCCGAAGTAACGGGAAGTTGCGATAGCACTGTTATAGCATGTGACTTCAAACAGTCCTGAAGTCATGCATATGACAGGCTTTGGCTGATGAGCTCCTGAGAGAAGGCTGATTCCAGATCAGAGCACCAGACAGATCAAAACAGAATGTCAGTGTGGATCACGAACATATACATCAGCATACACAGCATTTGATTCAGCCAGTAACATGTTTAAAGAGGTTTATAGGAAGAGCTACCTCTAAAAACATGATTACTTTGAATGTTTTACTACGGCTCAACAAAAACAAATTCCCATCACCAATAAAAATAATTTTGGCTATTTTGGAATGGAATACTACCAAACTGTTTTTTTGGTTAGTATACACTTAATACAGCTTAGTATTTAAAAACAAATTATGCATTATGTAATATGTGGCATTGCTGTCACATTATTAAAGGGATAGTCCGCTCATAGTCCAAAAATTCTGTCATAATTTACTCATCCTCATATCTTTCTAAACCTGTATTTCTTCATTCTGCACTGCAAAACATTTTCTGTAGAATGTTGGCAACCAAACAGGTTCCCATTGACTTCCATTGTATGGACAAAAAAATACAATGGAAGTTAAGAGCTGAAACAATTTGATTACCAACATTCTTCAAAATATCTTCTTTCATATTCCACAAAAAGAAAGCAAGTCATACGGTTTTGGAACGACATGAGGGTGAGTAAATTATGACAAAGTTTATTTTTGGGTGAACTATCCCTTTAAGTTTGTCACATGGACTCATTGCATGCATATTTAATTTCATAAGAGGCATCAGTTATAATTGCTTTCAGAAATATATATTTTACATATATATATATATATATATATATATATATACAGTATATATGGCAGATAAAATATCAAAAGATCACGTAAAGCACACTGCATTTTAGGATCCAGCATTCCTCAAAGTGTACTCTGTTATCAACTACACATTTTAGTATTAAGTGTAGTACTTATTATATACTGTACATATTGTATACAGCAGAAATATTAAAAGTAGTAGTATAGCAGTATGCATTTCCAAGCATAATACATAATCTCTACAGTAGATTAAAAAAATTTTCTGGCTTATTTGTCTTTGTAAAGGTCTGAAATGACAGCATTGGCCTCTCTGCTGCCCCCACCAGCTCTGGAGCACCACTGACATTTATGTGACGTTACCACAGGTTGACTAAAGTGTGACATAATGTTGTCTGGAAAGTGTGAGACCAAGAGGAATTATCCTGAAGTATGCATTTACAATGCAAGACATGACTGGCCATACAATCTCAACATGGTGGCCATCATGAGATGGCAACCTGCAGAATAAAACAGCTGTGGTAGGTAAAATAGCTAGAAGAATAAGAAAGTGCTGCTATAGGTAAAATAGCTAGAAGAATAAGAAAGTGCAGTAAATTAATGAGTGCACCTTTCAACAGAAAAACCAACTATATTCTATTTTAGTGTTTAAAAGGATCCACTCTTAACCCATTAGTTGAGAGCAAAACCATTTTAGTGAAACTGAAAAGAAAAAAAAAACTTCTTGAATGAGCAGTGAGCTGTATGCGAGAGATGGTATCAGCGATGTGGCTGGTGTTTGGGGTTAGCGAGCGAGAGCAGCTCCATCAATCAGTAAATGAAGGGAGTGAGCACAGGAAGCCCCGTGAGACCTGTTTACTCACCCTGAACAAAGACCGTGCAAGAGAGAGGGAGAGGAGGAAAACAAAGTGATAAAAGGCAAAGGAGGAGGCAATTAAGCAGAGAAAACCAAGGGCTGGAAGAGAGATGAAGCACAAAGATTGCTGAAACTGGGCCAAAAGAGATATTTCCGTCTGTGTCTTCATTTAATATAGCAACGGAAATATTGCTAGACAATGCTATCATTTACATGTGAGAAATTAAGAGGGTGAAGGGGGAGAGAGGAAGGGAGTGAAGAAAAAAGCAGAGAGAACGACATTTTTAAGACCTGGATTCATATAACAGTTTATGAATCTGTGCTGCCAGGTTTCAATTTGAGATCATCTTTTTTATCTCCTCATAGCTTACCAGCCAATAAGGATGCACACTGCTGAAAGGGCACCACTCTGATTGGCTGATTTAAATGTCAATGATAACATCCACCAAACAACACAACATGGTGTGTATGAAGCATTTCTTTCAATATATAAACCTTCTTAAAAAACTAAATTCAATTTACCTCAATTATATACATATATACAAATACACAACAAATACTGAAAGATTTTTTGCAGCACAGTCAAAGTCGCTTATTGGCTGTGGTTGTATGAATAATATTGTTTTGTTTCGATTAAACTGAATATGACCCAGATGTTTCAATGCCAGCTTTGACATCTGATGTCAATTATGTGGTTGACATCCATGTGCACACACATATACACACACAAGCCCGAAAGGTCATCCAGAGCACAACACAGCAATGCTAATCAGCACAACATCTTCAAAATACAAAAAGGCAAAACTATTTTTCTTTTTCTTTAGGAAGCAATATGGGGTCATTTTGATTCCTTTCAACCCCAAAGGCTAACATAAACATCCGACTGTACTTCTATTTGTTAAGTAAACTAAAAACCTCAAATGCTGATTTTTGCTTCTGGATATTTGTCTCTTTTTCAATACAATACAGCATCTTTCCATAAGAGACAATGATAAGAATGATAAGAGTGTACATAAAGCATTGAATGAATGCATAAATGCCTGTACCATCATCGCTCGTGTGTGGTTCGGTGCAGTTGTCTGCTTCATCAATGGTGCCTGGTTCACTGTGAGGGCTGTCACTGTGTGAATATACACACATAAACAAACACAAAGAGAAAGAGTTGTTTAAAAGCACAGTAAACACAATAACTGTACACATGATAATGCCAGCATTGGAAAAACCATGACAATTACAGTTCTGCAATGTCCCGCAAACAGTAATCAATTCTGATAGTATCAATATTAGAGACTCATGAAACATAAGGCATTGAAAGCATTGTGGATAAAAAAAATTATTTAATGGGGATTTAAAGCAATATGCCACAAGAGACTGTGTTACACATTAATTTTACCACGGTTAAGAGTCATTACGCAGAAGTCATAGCAAAGAGTAAGAACAGGGTAAAAAAAAACAGCATTAGGAGTCTTGCTTTTAAAACAGCATGTTTGATAAATACATTCAAAAGTCTGGAGTCAGTAGGTTTTTTTTTAAAGAAAATAATACTTTTATTTAGCTAGGATGCATTGATTCTACTTTTATTTCAAATAAATACTGTTCTTTTGAATTTTCTATTTGTCTAAGAAAAGCATCATAGTTTCCACCAATATTAAGCAGAAAAACGGTTTTCAGCATTTATAATAATAATGTTTTTGTGAGCACCAAATCAACATATTAGAATGATTTCTAAAGGATCATGTGACAATGAAGACTGGAGCAATGGCTGCTGAAAATTCAGTTTTGCCATTACATGGAATAAATGAATTTTTTTAATATGAAAACAGAAAACTGTTATTTTAAACTGTAATAATATTTCACAGTTTAAGTTTAAGTTCACAGTTTTATTTCACAGCTGAGATTTAACCATTTTTACTGTATTTCTATCAAATAAATGCAGCTTTAGTGAGCATAATCTAATGATTCATTTGATTCATCAGAATCTAATTTCTAAAAAAAATCTTACTGGCCCCAAACTTTTCAACGGTACTGTGTTTACATTTATTACTAATAATAACCAAAGCAAACCATTTCCACCAAGTGCCTAGGAATAACAAGTAATCTATGGTATATTAATATGGTAATCTTTTAGAACAACAGTATATATCAAAGAACCATATGGTATTTCCTTCTGATAACAACACTGTATCATGGATCTTTTTATAAGTAGAAATACTGCTTTTAGCAATAGGTTACAAAAGTATGCCTCAGGTACTCCACTTTATATGACCCGAGTGTGAAACTCCCCATTCATAGTAGAGAGCTCAGTTTAAGCCACGGCTGGCTCTAATGGAGGAATTATGACATTCCTTACTAACAACAAAATATTGATTCTACTTTTATTTCAAATAAATACTGTTCTTTTGAATTTTCTATTTGTCTAAGAAAAGCATCATAGTTTCCACCAATATTAAGCAGAAAAACGGTTTTCAGCATTTATAATAATAATGTTTTTGTGAGCACCAAATCAACATATTAGAATGATTTCTAAAGGATCATGTGACAATGAAGACTGGAGCAATGGCTGCTGAAAATTCAGTTTTGCCATTACATGGAATAAATGAATTTTTTTAATATGAAAACAGAAAACTGTTATTTTAAACTGTAATAATATTTCACAGTTTAAGTTTAAGTTCACAGTTTTATTTCACAGCTGAGATTTAACCATTTTTACTGTATTTCTATCAAATAAATGCAGCTTTAGTGAGCATAATCTAATGATTCATTTGATTCATCAGAATCTAATTTCTAAAAAAAATCTTACTGGCCCCAAACTTTTCAACGGTACTGTGTTTACATTTATTACTAATAATAACCAAAGCAAACCATTTCCACCAAGTGCCTAGGAATAACAAGTAATCTATGGTATATTAATATGGTAATCTTTTAGAACAACAGTATATATCAAAGAACCATATGGTATTTCCTTCTGATAACAACACTGTATCATGGATCTTTTTATAAGTAGAAATACTGCTTTTAGCAATAGGTTACAAAAGTATGCCTCAGGTACTCCACTTTATATGACCCGAGTGTGAAACTCCCCATTCATAGTAGAGAGCTCAGTTTAAGCCACGGCTGGCTCTAATGGAGGAATTATGACATTCCTTACTAACCACAAAATCCAGCTAAAGTCTAGAGCTCACCAGTACTCCTCTCCTCCAGTCATGCATTTCTCATAGACAGGACCGTCCAGCTCACGCAGGCTGGGGAAGATGACCTCGTGGTGGATGATGATGGTCTTGATGACCTCATTAACATGAGCCTGGCAGGCCACAGGGTCCTGAGCATCCGGGATGGGCATCAGAGTGGGTCCAAAACAGATGGCAAGGTTATATGAGTCCATCATGTTCTCATCACTGTACTGGGACAGACTAGGATGAAGAGACAGAGATAGTAAAAAAAAGTTTATGTTCTTAAAGGTGATGTAATGCTGCAGGAATTACAATTTATCAAAAACTTTCACTCTTACTCCTGCTGTCTATTTCAATATACTAATTCATAACTTTGTCCAAGAGAATTCATCTTCATGTACAGTGCATTATCTTTCAGCTCATCTCTCATTGGGAAGTCTCTTGACTGCAGAAGTGAAGTTCAACTGAGTCAGAGCTGCGAGCACCGAGAGCAAATGAAAGGGGGGGGGGGAAGAAGTCAGAGGGAAAACTCATGAAGTTAAATCAAATTCTTTGTTCAGCCTGGGGGAGGGTGAGAACAGGAAGCATCAATAAAAAACAAGGAGAAGAGGACAGGTATAGTACAGTACAGACTGATCGGTTTCTTCTGGTGTAAATATCCTCTAAAGCACTTGACTTGACAGACATGGTCATAAATTAGACAATAATGGTAGGTGCTGCTGAATAGCTCTTTGTAAATATAAGGAATGTCTTTGCTTGTGACTGCTGCTATTCATATAAATGGTGAGATGCAGAGATGCTGTGAAGGCAGTGTGGTAAAATTACAGATTAGCCTCCCACTTTTGAGCATGCACGCGTGTAACTGCAGGTCAACTTCTTTAAAGTATGGCACAAAAAAAGTTTGTGAAATATAAAACTTACTGATTTAGAAAAGCAAACAGGTATCTCATGACGATGATGATGGTACGAGGAAGGGTGATGATGATCTGCTGGATGTGGTGGGCTCTTTCCGCAGACGATTCAAGTTCTGAAACAAGAAATCGACAAACAAGCATTCAAACAAATAAACCAAAAGCTCCACATTTAAAATATATACAACTGTTCAAAATCTGGGGTTGGTAAGACTGATTCATGTTTTTGAAAGAAGTCTCACCAAGGTTGCATTTATTTGATCAAAAATACAGTAATACTGTGAAATATTTTTCAGTCTTCAGTGTTGCATAATCCTTCAGCAATCTAAATAAAAAATAAAAATTTTACTGACCCCAAACTTGTGAATGGCAGTCAAATATTAGCCTCAATCCCAAAACAATCTTTTGTATGTTTACTTATGTTTTACTTTTTACATTCTCTTGCCAGACATTTTTTGTTTCCAAAAGCAAAATATAAGAAACTGACAAACTGCTTTGTCAAATTGCAAAGACAAAGCCAAGCACCAGTAGAAACATACAACAAATAACAGCAATCTATGGAGTAATACCAGGTTTAATCACTCCAGTGACATTTCAACCTATCCTGCAACTGAATGAAACACTCACTGATGGTGGAGATCAAATCCAGGAAGCGCTCCTTGGGGAACAGAGGGTTCTCCAGCCCTCTGAAATACAGCTTGAGAACACCAGCCACAGAGTTGATGTCACGATCGCTCTGATCATCAACCAGTGGGTCCTCACCTGAAATAAATGGTGGAAAAAATAGGGATTATAGGAGAAAAATAGACACACACACACACATTCCTAATATATAATAATAAGTAATAACGTAAAGTAAGTAATAACACAATTAAGTTAAGGGTCTACAAAATAGGGATTTGTCTCTTTCTGCTCCTTAGTTCCCTAAGCTTTACAAGAACCCAAATTCAGGCACTAGCAGGCACCTTAGTATATATATACTTTTTTGCTGATGATTCAATTACCTGTGACACAATAACAAGGTTGCACATTAAAACATAGCTATTTATCAACAACACTGCTGTGTAACACCTAATGACCAGTTACTCTGGCTGTCCAATCCCTGTATTACTATTTTCAGAATTTGCTATTTGAATGTACTAAACGATTTTCTGTTATCATTATTATTCTTTTTTATTTTCTAGGTAGTAAATGTTTCAGTGCAAATCGAAGGATTTTGACGACGGAATAGCCTTAGAAATGGCTTATATAATTTAATACATCATTTGTCAATATCAAAACAAGGCAGATGATTGTTTGTATCTGCAAACATGAGCTAAATGTGGAATCAATTTGTTTCACAGGAAAGCTTTTGTAAATCGAAATCCTGCTACTAAATTTAATTTTCTGATGTTATTTACACCCTCTGCTCGGCAATGATGATCTGATGTGTGGAAGAAACATATTTACAGTTTGGAAAGTACATAAACAAAAATAACTGAAAAAAAATTACAGTTCATCTCTAGGGGACTAACCTCTTTCAAATGAATTTTTAATATCGTTGACTTCCACCTGAGATCCAGGAACTCGGAATATGCCTTGTTGTTGCAGCCCTGGAAAATGTAAAGAAAAGCAAGGCAATTGCATTATTTCCAGCTCAAAACAAGATGCGCACAGGAGGAAATACAACATTTCCCTCTAAGTGGTCCTTAATTTTTTTTTGGCACATATGAGTTGCTAAAGAAATTCCAATCATTTTCTGAGATTTCATTGGATCCTGAGGGAATGCCTGTGATCTTAAAGCAATAATCTCAAAGAAAGAGTAGATCAGGTTTCTTGTTAACAACCTTTGAGCCAGCTGAAAGAATAGAATTTATAGCATTATTATTTTCTGCCTTGACATCCATAAAAATCTATAGTCTCTAGCAGCATAATAAATCATCAATCCATTGAATACTTTGCAGCCAAACTGATGTCATTTTCGAAATTCACTAACTTCAGCTTCACCCTGACAGATGGACTTTATATGGAACTATTTCCAAAGTATCACGGGATCACTAAAACTTACAACAGATGAGTCCTTATTCTAATTAGCATCTGTGTCTCACTCTGGTTGAGAATGTTGAGCACTCTGTGAATGATAAGGGGATGTGTTGTTTTTGGAGAGCTCTCTAATGGTTTCCAGTAGCTCCTGAGTCAGCATGTTTATCTGCAATCAATTAGCAACCTTTCCTTGAACTGCTTACCATATAGATTAATGTATCGTATACAGCTCTCCACCACCAGAGGAATGGGTTGACCTGAATCCTGAAAGACAACAATCATTACAAAACGGCACCAGTTTTAAAGCTGTGGCTGAGATTTAAAGGGATAGTTCAAAAATTGACAGGTTTTTTTTATTTTTATCATCATTTACTCACACTCATGTGACCCAAACCTGACTTTCTTCTTCCGGGGAACAAAAAAGGAGATATTTTGACATTTTAAAGATAGTTTTAACCAAGTCCGAATCAAATAAAATTAGACCTAAACAACTTTCATTGTATGGACAAAAACAAGAAAAATTTTCATACAAGTTTGGAACATCACGAGGGTGAACAAATTATTTCCTTTAAAGGTGCACCTGCTAATTTTTCCCTGATTAAAAAGTAAACAAAAAGCACTAAAAGTAGCATAAAATTATAAAATAGTATAAAATGTATATTATGTACACTCCTAATAAACCTGTTATATTTAACATGGAACTGGTCGCATCACTAGGCGTCCATGCTGAGATCACATGACCAGCTAAAAACGACCTGCTTTATCAATATAATCTATCATATTGGACATGTTTTCTCATGGAATATGAATTTATAGAATTAAAACAGCTTTTTCTAGGCTACTGCTATGACTGGAGTTTTACCTCATGTGAGTACACATTATTTTAATTTTATTGTATAACTAAACAAATTGTTTTAACACATTTGTGTATCATTAGATACAAATTTAATGATGATATAGTTATGAATCTACACAGACATTAGATGCAAATCTTTTTTAAACTGGAAAAAATGCTTGGTGCACCTTTAAATAAGTATTTAACATTTTCTAAATGCTTTAAAAATAGGTAATATATACATAAAACTAAAAAATTTAAAATATTTGTTCGTTTTTTTTAGTAGAAAATAAAGCAAAGCATTAAGCATGTCTGTCCTCAAGGGCATAACACACTAGCAAAGGCTGCTAATAGCAACTCATCTGAAGGTCGCTACAGAAAGCTCGTTAGAATTTCTCTGTTGTGGAAACTGTTGTGGAAAGCAGCAATGACATGTCATTTGTCTTAGCAAATGTATTACAACCTTATCTGAAAGGTAAAGACAGTCCATGCCTGGCCCTATTCTACAGTACCTGACTGCGGGTACGAGCATTCCGTCTTCCCCTAGGACACAGAAGCAGCGTAGAGCAGAGCAGAGGAGTGAAAGAGGTGAGAAAATCACAGTTAGAGAGGAAGGGACGACAGAATCGCCATGGAGACGACAGTATCGTCGTGGTGACTGGGTGGAACAGCATTAGGGCGGCTGCTGGAATGGCTTGAGATGCAGTTAAGGGAGGCATGTGGAGAACGTGATACCTGTGATACACGTGATTTTTCTTCTATTTATATATTTTTAAACAAAATACTTTAAATCTAAGTGGTAATTGACCACGTAATTGCGTGAATTTAGCATTAAGGCAGTTCCTTAAAAACTAATGGGCCCTGCTGAGTCTGTATTTAGGCAGGAGGGCATCAGCTGCCACCCTTATCATCTGCATCATCGCCACCTGGCGAAAGACGGGAAATTAACAGAAGCAAATAGAGGGTGTGAGCGCATGAGTCAGTGAGAAAAGATAGACAGAGCTTCAGCCATCCCTCCAGCCCACCAGGGGGCGCTGTTAGCACCAAAGTCAGTGGGTACCTTAATGAAACTCTCCATATTGCCGTTAAACAGCTTATGGTTATAGATGGAACGAGGCCTTGGTTTCCGCAATTTCTGTGGTTTCGGGGGAAGGGTTGGGGGTCTGGGGAATGGAGATGGTTAGATGGAACAAAAACACACACAAAAAAACCCTCTGAATGACATGTTATATCAAAGACCTTAAAACCTAAATAGCCAAACACTTTCCCAACTATTCGACTCTTAGGTATGTCTCAGCGCAGGAAACAGTCAATAATGAGGGGTTTAAATAAGCAACAGGCATTAATTGTTGTTCTTTAAAAGATCGTAATTACATCCTAATGCTTTTGACCTCAAATTAACCGATAACAACTGCATGGAGTTTTCTATTCCCTATAGGAGCACTGAATCAGGCCCTTATTGAAACATTTGGCTATGGAAACATAATTGCTGTTGTGACAGAATGGTAAATGCAATCAAAGTCAAACATGACATGGCTCTGTACTTTCATTGTAAACCTGAGGGCACAAGCACAAGCTGTTGTTTATATTTGCTTATGTGATTATTCATTAACAGAGATGAATGTTTTCAATGAAATTGAGAATGTACGCATGCTTAAGTATATATATTTTGCTCTTTATTATTTGGGCCTGAAACATATTCTATGCAAGTATGTGAATGAAAATGCTTCTAGCTATATAAGCACAATTTCATATGTCGGAGTACCAACATACGCGTTGGTCAAGCATTTGCAGCTGTATTTGTGGAGCTGTGCAGTGTGTTTCATTTGAAATTTGAAATAAAGGGCATATGATTATCAATGGCAACACTGGTAGATGTCACCCAACTGAGAGGTCAGAAGAGGTCTCCATTTGTTTACCATGAAGGCTCTATTCTCAGCATTCTCCAACTGTCAGAGGACATTTTGGATAACCCAGCATGAGTTGAACCCCTGCCAGTGACAGCTTGAGGACAAGTCCCCCTTTTTACCACCATATCAAAAAAGTTTTATTTGTCCTCTCTTGCTTTTACCCTGGGCTGTTATGTGTTTTAGAGGTTGTTTTAGCACATGAACATGCAGAAAATGGACTGAAAATAATGGTTTAATCTCTTTTTAATCTAAAATGCCATAACAACTTTTTTCTATTAAAAACAATAATCATGGAAATGGATAATGAATAATGGATATGGATGAGAGGTATAACACGGACTGAATCTTATTCTTTAATGACCCAATGGTTTAACAAGTGCAGTTTTCTTTAGATACTATTTAATTGGACAAAAATCTTGAAATGTTGAGGTAAAAGAGTATATCTTCACTCTTAAAAATAAAGGGTGTTTTCATAGTTATACAATCTTAAAGGGGTCATCGGATGCCCATTTTCCACAACTTGATATAATTCTTTAGGGTCTTAATGAAAAGTCTGTAACATAGAGCTTGGTTCAAATTTCTCAATGGTAGTGTAAAAAACACCTTTTTTACCCTGTCAAAAACAGCTCTTTTCAGAGCAAGCTGTTTTGTAGCATTTTCCTCTCTTCCGAGCTGCTCTCTGAGTGACTGTTTACTTTTACTTTAATTTACTTTAGACTGTTTAATTCATCGTGAAACTTGCTAATCTTTTTTTATAATTTTAGGGTGGTTGTGTACACACACTGCCAACACACATTTCAGTTCAAACTACTTGTAAAAGTGCATGTAGCATCTGATGACCCCTTTAACAATGAAGTTTCCAAAAGGGGTTTTTACAATGATGCCATAGAAGAACCATTCTGGGTTCCCCAAAAAAAACTTTCAGTGAACAGTTCTGAAAAGAACCATTTTTTTCTTAGTATGAAGAACATTTTAATAATCTAAAGAATTGTTTTCCACTATAAAGAACCTTTTGTGCAATGCAAACGTTCCATTGATGTTAAAGGTTCTTCAAAGAACCATAGATGTCAATAAATAATCTTTTTTTAAGAGTATATCATAGAAGAAACATTTTGAGTTCCCCAAAGAACCTTACAGTGAACAGTTCTTTAAATAACCTTTTGTTTCCAAGTGTGAAGAACATATTAATACTCTAAGGAACCTTTTTCCACTACAAATTGCATTTGTGCAATGGAAAGTTTCCATGGATGGTAAAGGTTCTTCACGGGACCACAGATGCCAATTAAGAACCTTTAATTTGTTTTTGAAAATGGGAATCTCATCATCAGCACAACTCTCTTACCTTGTAGTTCCACATTCGGCTCTTTCTCCTAAAAAAGAGAGAGGAAAGAGGGAGGAGTCAGAAATGTCATTATTAGCATGATCTCATGCACTGGGTTCTCAAGCTCGGTCAGAGCATACTGAGGGCTATCGTGAGAGTGGCCAGCACTATTGAAGACGAGATGAATGGGTGAGCAGCCACACAGCGCTTAAGACAAAGAGGAGCACTGGTCACCGTAGAAACCTCGGAAAGGGCCCTGCGGGGTGTCAGACGGCCACAGAAGGGAACTAAAGGGGGCTAAATGAGTGAGTGTGTGTGTTTGTATTTGTGGGTATGAGGGTGAGTAAGAGTGGGTGTGCATCAAGGGATTCATTTCACACTGGTGACACTGAGCGATGTCTGTGACGGCTCACTAGGTGCTCTGTCCCAATGTCCAGTGCATTTAAAAGGGTTCCCTAGTATCTCCATGAAACAAACAATGAAAAAATATACATGTCCACAAACCAAAAAAACACAGGAAGGTCAAAAAGAAACAATATAACGCAAGAATGCTTCAACTACCAATTTTTTCAATTACAAATACAATAAATAATTAAACTAAAGTAACTTTTTTTTGTTTTCTAAACAAAATGTAAGCAGTGCTTCCCTGTGCAAAAGTCACCTCCACAATGTTAGAGTGTAGTTGTGTTGATGCCAGGGCGTTGCTAAGGTGTTTTAGCATGTTGCTATGCAGTTGCTAGGGTGCTCTGGGTGGCTTTCTCTATGACATTATAGTCCTAAGACAAGGCTAAGATTTCTCCTTTAATGTTGGTACAGGATTATTCTTCCAATTTTAACTTGTAAAATCTGACTACTTTAAAAAGTAAAAGCACACCTCTGCCCTACAAGCTGCATGATTTGAGAATCATTCATGCCAACAAATTAATGATAATAGTGATTTTAAAGCTGCAGTCCGTAACTTTTGGCGCTCTAACGGTTAATAAACAGAACCGCGTGCGTCTTGCGGA